TTCACTTATCCTTCTTGCAAATTAGTTGCATGTCTTTCAATACATGGCGGGTAGGAGGCTGTACTGGCGATTCCCACTCCTACCCGCATGCACTGTTCGGTCTGTGTATACAGCTTGGGGATGAAACACAGACGCGTCATGAAATGTTTTCTTATATATGACACTTAATTCCAATCTTTTTACTCCACTATTCTTAAAGTCTAAATGCTGTGCAGTTCAGTTCATTGCAGACTAAGAAATCCGTTTACGGGCTATACCACCATATCCCGGGTTTCAATGACGAGGACCAGCAAATGGAGAAGCGTATTTATCCGCTACCATCAGTCTACTTACCCTATCTCACATGATGTACACATATTTGAAACGATCCCCGATTTACCGCATAGGTCTGTCCTTAAGGGATTTATTCACCACACACTTATTCATTATCAGTGCAACTGCTTTGCGTGTTTTTTCATGTGTACCATTAAATTTGATATGTCACAGATCACTTATCAGCCGCTTGTTGATCTATTACATTATCACTGAATCTGAGACAATTCCTGGAAGAGTGAGTTACCCCCAGAGGCAACAAGAATCCTCTTCCAATCATTGGCGGATCTAGGGGGGCGATGGGTCTTTTGCTCACCCTCCTCCCCAGCGGCACAGGTAACAGTGCTAAAAGTGAAGAAAACTCTCTTTGAAACCCCTCGTCACCCCCTTCCCCACAGGAAACCGCTCTGGACCCGCCTATGTTTCCAATTACCTATTTCCCTTCCCATAATCAAATTTTTTCACTGAAATTAATCAGAATGCACTACTTCCTATAAACACTGATAACAAGCAGCTTCAGGGTACAAGCACCATGGATCCAGTACGCACTGATTACAAGCACCACAGTCCTTATGCACAAACCTTGTGACTATGTTTTTGCACTCCAGATATGCATGGGTCGGTTCTTTTGAGGCAGGGACACCTTTAGTGGCCCATTTGCGTCTGCCCAATCAAACCTGAACAAAAATACTAGTCGGACCAGGGATTAGTAAAGCATCAAAGATCATGCAGATGTGTTCTAATTTTCTGTGTTAGTTCAAATGTTTGCAAGGCCAAGAAATAAATGTTGATCTATAGAACAGTGCATGTAAGATATGTGAAGATATCAGTGCTAATTAGCAAGGAGCAATTAACAGTCTTTTTGAATGCTTATTACTTTGCATTTAAAGAAGTAAAGCAATTAATGACATGCGTCAATGGCAGCTTTTTCGCACGCTATAACTTCAATACTTCCCAA